CCCCAAAACCCCAAAACCCCAAAACCCCAAATGTAGATATTTCAATTATTAAAGATTATTTAGAACATTAAATTAAAAATAGACATATCATTTTAATATTTTATTATAGATCTTACATTTCAGCATTAATGGAAAATTTAGATATCAGGAAAAATATGCTTAGCGGGGACCCTCTTAAAAAACAATCAAGTCTAGAATTGATTAAAAGTACCTGTTCTGAGATTAGTTAAACTAAAAGAACTCCCTTGCCAAATGAGCAAGCCAATTGTTGCTTTGGATTTTTCTCTGCAAATAAATAAGCTCTAAAGCATAGGTCAAAGAAAGAGAAAGAGCTTGTAAGAAAGACGGCACCCTATCTTAAAATATTTGAGGACTCTATGGTAATAGACAATTACAACTCGGATTGGGTAGAGGATTTCCTTTTGTAAGTTAAAATCAAGTAACTTATCAAGCAATTTATAGCTAAGTTCAAAGAGCGCTTCTACAGTGCTATGATAAAATTTTATAATTCCAAAAAGAATTTCAGCATGTAGCTTCTTCGATCGTAAAGCATAAATCTATCGATGATTATGGGAATACTCAGAGATAGCATAATATGATTAGACCGAACCTTAAGCTGCAGTAAATCCGCCTTTATGATGAAATAGAGTCTCAAATTAAATAAAAAACTCACCCTGTTCAGCATTTGTGCTCAGCCTTTAAGCTAGTCTTTGTTAATCAATACAAGGAATTCGTACATAAAAATGTGGACTAAACATCCCAGGCATTACTTGATAAGATCATAGTATAGACTGTAGGCCTTTAATCAGACTACATTTTGAGTTTATCTAATGAGATGGAATAAAAGGATGATGATTAATTATAAGAAGAGCTAGAGAAAAAAAATGAGATTACCTTGGCGAATAAGGTGCTTGATGATGTTAAATTATTCTTCTCAGCACTCTATCACTTCGTCCTCAGAATGTATGAAAGCCATCTGAACCGAATAGATCTAAATGCACTTCTTTAAGATATAGCAAAGCTATGTATTTAAGTTATAGTAAAAGATGAAGTACATAAGATACTAATATGCTTGGTAAGAATAGATAATTTTGAACTGGATAGAGATATAAGAGCTAAATATGCATTACTAAAAGGTGTGTAGCCTGCTGATTTCGGAATTGATCCTTATTTGCAGCTTAAAAATCCTCTAATTCTTTTAACTGAATTATAGAAGTAATTCAAAATTGACCTATCCTCTCTGATACTTCTCATCTCAAATAAAAATTTAACTCTCTAGAATTAAGAATACTCTGAGATCAAACAGTTTACTTATCAAGATTTTACCAAATAATATAAAGAAGAGATAGATTAGCTGCCGCTTGAAATAAGTAAAATCATATATTAAAAAGCTGATGTCAAGCCATACTACAAAAGTGTATTGAAATTTAGAGAGATAATGATTAAACCGCATCCTCCAATAGATAAGTTATTCTAGCTTTATCATTTAAAAGAGTAGATCTAGCAGGAGGTGCAAGATTATTGGAAAGATATCATTACTGATAAGAAAAAGATTCTAATCAATAGAGATGAATTGACCTCAATCATGCTGTTTTTGATTGCTAAGACAGAGATCCCCGATTTAACTTCATAGCTTAAACTCATTCAGGAGTTTACAAGTCAAGAAATATAGAATGGCAGTGATCACAGTATCATCTCAGCAGCATATTTAATGTTTAGCTCCCCTATTCTCTGGTTCTCATCTATTGATGGGAATAAACTACTGGATAGAACATACCTTTTAAGAGCAACCATGCAAATGACTGAGTAATATTCAAGATTCGATAAAATAAGCTTCGATGATATGAACGATAGATATGATCCTTTTTCAGTTGCCAATAGCTACACTTTGAGAAATTCATATTTAACAGGAAACAATACTAAAACTGTTGACTTAGCTAATATCAGATCTTTTGCTTTTTATTGATTTCTTTCATATCAGGTAATAGTGTAAGAATAGGTTCTTTCCAAAAAGAAAATGTAGATTTTTATTCTTAATTTTATGAATCAAAGAAATTCATTAAGTTATAAAATGGCAATATCTCTTCATGGGGTTTTGGGGTTTTGGGGTTTTGGGG